CCTACAGCTCAAAGCTGGAGTTCTGGGAAAGACCACAGAGGAGTTTATACAGCAAGAGGGCAGCTCCACCAGCATAGGTGCCAGGGCTCATGGACCATGCCAGTTCACCTGCTGGTGGAAAACACTGTCCCCACAGCGGCCACGCACATCACACAAGAGGGCCTCTAAGCCAACCCCAAAGGCAAAGAAGTGCCAGGCACGAGGGTTCAAGGCCTCACAGCTGGATGTGGAAGCTCTAGGCAATCCACAGGGAAGACTCAGTTGAGGAAGTGGAAGGATCAGGACCCTGGGGGAAAGTCACTGTGGAGCACTGAAATTCTTGACTTTGAGGGAAACTAAAACCATCCAGATTTATACTGGATGTCAAAGAAGCGATTTAACGAATCCAGCGCCATGGGAAGAAGGGTCCCATGGCAGGGGAAAGGCTCCTCAGGAGGGGAGGAAGCTCCTAAGGAAGGAAATGCTAAAAACACCACCAAAGACAATTCCAGTGAGAAGGAAGGAGCCACCCAAAGGGGCTGCACAAAATCCTCATGAAAATCTGAAGGCGAAAAGGAACACCGAGAGGAAATGGGAAGAGGGCAGATCAGTAGCCTGGAACTGTAAAGGTGCTGTCGGAAGGTTAACCAAGGAGGCAAAATGGCTTCAGAATAAAGGAAAAGAAGAGAACCGGTAACCCAGCGGCTCTATGCACCTCAGTCCCTGTCTGAGTTCAGCCTCCTACACCAGCAGGACAAAGAGGCAGAGGGATCCCTTTTCCCTCTGAATTCAAATCTCTAGGACCGAGTGGACTGCCTCCCAGGCAATCAGCTGACAGCTGGCCCGGGCCTTCCCTTTTCCCTGAAAAGTCCTGAACTACTGGAGGAAGGGAAACGTGGTCCTTCCCTTTGAAAAGGAGAAGAGGGACCATCCCGCTTCCTCAAGCAGATGACGAAGAAGTTGACCCATAAACCAGTATGAATCAGTCAAGAACAAATCTTACCAGAGCTCCTTACTAGTTTGTGGGAACACTGTAGATAAAGTATTCCCAGATGAGCAAAGCATTTGGCAAAGAACCCCATGGCATGCTGGCAAGCAAGCGAGTTACGTGTGGGCTAAGTGGGTACATCCCTGGCAGGAAACTTGTACTGAAAGCATTCTTCTTCTTCTTCTTCTTCTTCTTCTTCTTCTTCTTCTTCTTCTTCTTCTTCTTCTTC